TTTCTGTTTTAATATTTAGATCTTTAATCCATTTTGATTTTAGTTTAGTGCATGGTGAGGGAGATATAGGTCTAGTTTTAATCTTTGGCAAGTTGAAACCCAGTTTCTCCTGCACCATTTATTAAAGAGGCTATCTTTCCTCCTCAGTGAACTTTTAATATGAGATTCTAGATTCTGGATTAAATCATTTAATAATTGTGAAAAATACAAAACATTGCTTTTCCATTTTGGTGCCCCATTAGATACACAGAGCTTCCTCTACATGAAAATTAAGGTAAATTTGTTGCCCTGATCTTTTTTCTCCTTCCAGCATTCTTTTATATGTATTCCTTTCCAACTTCCCCCTCACCTCCAAGATACTAAGGATTATGTCTTAGACTTTTCCGTTGCTATAACTAAATTGCACAGACTGGGTAATTTATAAAGAACAGAGGTTTACTTAGCTTCCTGCCATCTGGTGAGGGCCTTCTTGCTTCATAATAACATGGTGAAGGGCATCACATTGCAGCAGGAAACTTTAGCGGCATCCTGGACAGAGAACTGAAACATGGAATTAGGAGCAAAAAATGGCTTTAATAATGCCGGCGGCTCAAGGAGTGACTCATGTCAATCTCGAGAGTCCTGAAAAGAAGTTTGTTCTTTATATACTTCCTTTTACATCCACGAGGCTTATTTTCTTTGGAGTTTCCCTGTGAATATAACAAGGAGGATTTATACAAAGCAGAGCAGTGGGGTTGGGGGAGCAAAGAGTTCTGGCAGGACTTTCTGAGTCCATTATGCTCCTTTGGCGATCGATTACAGAAGTTGTGATGGTTACTCAGGTACATTCCACAAAGAGCATAGTCACCTAGTTAACCCATAGTTGCCTAATAACAGTTAATCCATAGTTGCCCAATTCCATACAGAGGGTGGTTTTGTCTCTCAACATGGCCAGACAGAACAAGTGTGCTAGTGTGGTCACTTGCTTATAAAGCCAATAGTATCATCATGAGGTTCTCACATTGATGACATTATCTTATCCTAATTGCTTCCCAGAGGCCCAACCTCCAAATACTGTTAACATATGAATTTGGGGATTAAGTTTCCAACACATGGACTTTTGGGAGACACATTCAAACCATAGCAGATGATCACCTAAGGAGGAAAGAGCTGATCAATGTCTTTTCCTACAGTCATTTAATACAGTCAATGTCTTTTCAAACAGAACTCAGGTAGAAAGGAATCTTAAGATAAAGAATGATTTAGTAAAGGTAAAATTTCAGGTTTTGGCAGCAAGATTGTAGGGTAGGTTTTCAAAAAGTACAGTTTTGAGGATGTATTGTCCTCCCTCCATTGCTATTTCTGGGCTTAAATCTAATATGTAGGTGATCACACACAGACTTACGCTTACACGTTTCTTTAGATCCAGTGATTCCATTCTGCAGAGCCTGAGAGCTTAATTTGTGATTTCCAAGATGGTAGGTTGTGAGCTGTCCAAAGTGGGCTGTAATTGTGTGGCCACCCCTGACTGCTCATTAACCCACTGCTGGGGCAGAGGAATTCTACCTGAAACCACACTGGGTTCTACCATGTGAGCACCTCTGCCCAGCCGTTGAAAGAGCCAGCCAGATGGGTTCAAACTGCAGCATTCACAAGGCCCCCACCAGAGTCAAGGCCCAGAGTGTCCTTGGCAACAAGGACAAACTACAGATCTTGCCTTTCTCTCTTTCTAAGTCTGGAAATGAGCCAGGGCTGGTGAAGGAGTTCACTTCTACCTGCTTGTTTAGGTGGCAGCTGCTGAGATGAGGGCTTTTCGTCTGTGGCTGGCCAGGGAGCCGGCAGAATGCTAATCAGTGTTGCATGGAGCAGGCCTGCATGTCCCAGACACAGCCATTCCCTCTGCCTCTCTGTGAGCAGGGGCTGTGCCTCTGTCCAGTTAGCCTGCAGCTCCTCAGAGGGTGTTTGGCTTACCTGTTCCAAGTGGCTGTGCCTGTCTGATGGGAAGTGGTCTCTCCTCTTCTTCTCTCAGTGGTAGATTTATTTTGGGCTTGTGAACCAGTGGTTCCAACTAGTGAAAGGTCAGAGACTACAGCTCAAATAGGATGTTCAGGCTGGTGATGCCACTGTGCAGAGACTCCAGGCCTTCGAGGGCATACCTGAACCCCGATCTTGCTTGAGCCAGAGGGTGTGGTCAGGGGTTTGCTGGGGTTTTACCGTCTCTGTATCCTTATATTTACCCTCTCTCTATCCGGTATATTGAGGAAGGTGTCCTATATTTCTAACTGAACATGTGTCTAGTTATAAACAAATAAGCAAGCAAATTAATTTATTTAGGAAATATGAATTAAGCATCTGCTCTGTCTAGGCTCTAGGCTAGTTGTTGTCTTACATCAAGTAGTTCCAGTGTACTTATTTGACAGGTAAGTGGCAAGGTACTGCGCGCTATCCTGAGCCGCATAGGAAACCTGCACCTTTTACAGGTGGGGAAAATAGGCCTCAGGAATTAAATAACAGGCCCAATATCTTGCATCCTATTAGTAGCAGATCTGGAATTCAAATCCAGGCTGTGAGATTCCAGAGTTGGCACCCAACCAGTAAACCATGCTGCCTCTCTGTGGAGGTAGAGGTAATATAGCTGTAAAGATGCGGTGACCCCCTGAGAGTTCTTGTGTGTGTGTGTGTGTGTGTGTGTGAGTGTGTGTGTGTGTGTGTGTGTGTGTGTTACCTCTGCTGTTCAGAGCACCTGCGGAGCAGTCTGTGACTGAATGGAGAAAGTGCGGTTCTCTATCCTCTCCTTTTTTGGAGGATGTGAGTTGTTCCTCCCATTCCTAGTTTAAAAAGTAAACTGTATTGCACTGAGGTGTGGGCCACAGTATGTGTCAGGGACAGTCAGAGCTGGGAGGCTGGCTCAGTCTGGTAGGTGAAGGCTCCGCCTGCCCCTCCGTTGGCCTGTGAGGCCACATCAGCTGCCTGCATTCCACCAGTGCAGCTTGGTTTCCATGGCACTGGATGTCTGGTGGGGACCAAAGAGCCTCTCTCTTGTATTGGTTGCAAAGCAGAACGTTCCTCTATTTATTCCGTGATCCAGTGCATGTAGCAAGAGGCAGGGAGAGGTTGCTTGTGTCAGTACTGTGGTCCTTCCAGCCACAAAATGGGTCACTGTGGGCTGTTCTGGAAGGCTATTGTTTTTGTGCTATCATTCTTTTGGGTTCTGGGCTAAGGATGAGTCCCTCAGTAGTCTGGGCTTCTTTTTACCTTACTTACACATAAAATCACCTAAACCTCTTTGGGAAACTCCAGTTTCAACCTTGACCAGTTCTCATGAGTAATGGTGAAACAGTTGACTATTTGCTTGAGAGAGTAGCTCCACCTTTCACTATAATATCCTAGGGTTACCCTCTCAAGCTTCACTGTGTACACCCTGGTTCTTTATGCTGGGTCTGTCTGATGAGCAGACTCTGCTGCCCATCTCCTCTTTTGGGGACTTGTTCTTGGTTGCCTCTCCTCCAGCCTTGGTGCTTCTAGACGAGCTAAGGTACTTCTACATGTGGAGCCAGGCAGTGCTCTGTTGTGCATGCCTGTGTGTGTGGCACTGTCTTGTGCAATGGAGTTTCGCTGTATCTCCGACTTGTTCCCACAAGAAGCTAATAGCTCTCCTCCTTACAATTGTGATAACCAAAAATGTCTCCAGACATCACCAAATGTCCCCTGGGAGAAAAGGACAAAATCACCCCAGTGGGAAAACCACTATTCTAGACTAAACAGAGTGCCTTTCCTCTGCCACACATCTCATTTAACTTTCTCCAGGGCCTGTCTGTGTCTCTGTTTGGCAAAGAGCCTTTCTGGTTGAAACAAATGCATTTTTCATAATCACCTGGGCTTGGTAATAGTAGGTACTATGAACAAGTACTTAATCTCTTAATATCTCATATGGACAGTATGAATTAAGGCATTCAGGTTCCATTTCATAGATGATACTAGGCACAGGGAAGGTTTTCAGTATCTGGTCCACAGACCATCAACTTTTAGGATCACTTGAGGAATCAGTGTATATTTCTGAATTTATGACAGACCTACCCATTGGAATCTCTAGGAGGTCAGGGAGTTGGAAGTCTCCATTTGACATTTTGCAGTTAAAAAAAAAACAGTTCTGGATTCATGTGGTCCAGAATCAGAAGATGGGGTAAAGTCTCTCTTACTGTTGTAGCTATCTGCCCAGTTCCCTTCCCCACCAGCTCCCCACTGAATCTGCACATGGATAACTGTTTGTTTGTATATCCTTCCAGAGTTTCTTTTTACACTTTTTATTACAGTGTGTTTGCAATACATAATAGTTACTTTGTTTGGGGCAGTTAGTACATGTATATAACATATCTTGATCATTTTTTATTCCTTCCCCCTCTCCAGCCCTTCCTCCTCCTCCTATTCCCCTTCCTCATTCCAAAATGTCTGACTTTTTGTTTATTACCATCTCTCCTTTTTCCTATTCTTTATTTGTATTTTAGGTTTTTCATATAAGAGAAATCATGTGATGTTTAACTTTCTGCATCAGACTTATTTCACTTAATATTATGGTTCTTTTTTTTCATCCATTTTCCTGCAAATGACATGATTTCATTCTTTATGACTGAGTAATATTCATATATATATACATATATGCCACATTTTTTTCATCCATTTATCTGTCAGAGTTCCCTTAGCTACATGGTGGAATCCAAATTTTTAACAATCTTTAAGGTACTGTTTTCAAATATGAGAACCAGTGCTGTTTGCCTTCTATTGTAAAATTTTGGAGGCAAAATATTTCTAATTGTGGCTACAAAATAGAAGATTCTGGAGGTATGGTATTTGGATTCTCACTGTACTGGGGGTACTGGAGTACCCATTCATCTTTCCATCCCTGAACTTGGCTCCTAACTAAGGGGGAAAAATAAGTCCCAATACAAATAGCCCAGTTTGGGGAGATTGAGTTCTTCCAGAAGGATGTAGGCAGCTTAGTTATTCTGTGAAAATTCTGCTGAAGTTAGAACTATGGATGGCTCCCAGTACAGATCACTAGTATGAATGGCTTAGGTTCAGGCACATCAAGTTCTTTCTAGAACTGCTCCAGTTTTGACACCTATGGCTCTTCAGAGCTGGTGCCTATGTGGACTTCTGGCTAGTTTACTGGATTGGCTGAGGCTTCAGGATATATGGAGGCTTCTGAAGGAAGTGACAGTTGTGCAACAGTAGGATTTAATCTCCATGTTTGTGCCTTGGGTCAAGCATATCTGGAAATAGGCTCCTTATTTTCTTCTGTGCCTTTGGTGTCTAGACTCATGGTGCTGGTCTCAGAGGGCATCTTTATCCTGTAAGCTTGGGTTTGTCTGTAACTCAGGGCTCACTAACTTGGTGCACCTGACATAGTCTATCTTGGTCCCTCCTGCTGTAGGTCTGGATCCTGCTGGGCCCATGTTTGAAGGGGTGGACATCGACAAGAGGCTGTCTCCTGATGATGCAGACTTTGTGGACGTCCTGCACACCTACACACGGTCCTTTGGCTTGAGTATTGGGATTAAGATGCCTGTGGGCCACATTGACATCTACCCCAATGGTGGTGACTTCCAGCCAGGCTGTGAATTCGATAATGTCTTGGGATCGATTGCATATGGAAGTGAGTTCTTTATTTTCTGCTTTGTGTTGGAATCAGTTATCTCATGTCCTTCTAAGTCAGCCAGAGCTGCTAGTGCTCTCGACACAATTCATTTCGTCATTCTCACCTCCTGCCACAGTGGCCCCAACATTGTGTGTAATGTTTTGCATCATCCCACACACCTGTTAACAGTTGCCCATCTCCTTTCTCATGCATCAAGGTCATAGTTGTTATTGATTAATATCTTTTTATGACATACATATTTATTGAAAAAACAATCAAGTGATATAGAATTGTATAAAGCAAAAAGTAAAAATCTCCCTTCACTCCCTCTCCTTCTTTTACTCTTTAGTGGCAGCCAATATGAACATTTTTATATGTATCTTTCTAGTTTTTTTCTTTGCAAATTGATGTGTGTGTAATTATTTTTCTGCAAACCACATTGTTCTGCAATTTTCTTTGCTTAGCCATAATATATTATGGAGATTCTTAATCATCAGAGTAGGTAGATTTACTAAACCTTATTCTTTTTATAGCCTGTATAATATTCTGTAGTATGGATATAACACTGTATTTTAATTTTTGATAATATTTTAAAGATATAAAACCAAGATGCTTTTTCTATTTACTTATAATTTATCTACTGAATGTCTGAGCTTATTCTTAGACTTAGGCTGAAGTCTTTGCTTTTGAAACTGCTGTGTGGCCCAGTGACTGATCCCTTTGTGGTTTTCCCATTCTTTCATAGCTTTGGATGCAGGTAGCATTTCCCAAGTCTTGGCCCCAGCCAGCTCTCTCTTTCTTGATGCTCTGTCTTTTCGGATATCCCACTCTGCCATTTGGTATTAGGATTGTTCCCCTCTTCCAGTGTGATTAACATACAAGTAGCCAACCTCATAGTGAGACCCTGTCTCCATAAATCAAATAAAAATTCAACAAAAACAAATACAAGTAGTCTTGTAGAGCTTGGAAGCCCATGCAAGGGCAGTTTACCTCTGCCCTAGTCTATTGGACGATGGTATTTAATTTATTTATTTATTTATTTATTATTTATTTATTATTCATTTTTATGAGACAGGGTAAAACTGAACTGAACTATGCAGTTCAGACTGGCCTTGAACTCACTGTGCAGCCCAGACTGGCTTTAAACTACTGGTGATCCTCTTGACTCAACTTCCAAGGTGCTGGAATTATAGGTGTGCACCACCATATCCAGCTTATTTTTAAAATTTATTTTATTTTTATTTTTTTATGGGTTTTTTTTTGAGATGACATTTTTAGGGCTGATGATATCCATGAGGAAGGGGTAGAAGTGGCTTTAACAAATGTTTCATGAGCTTTCCAGGATCTTCTTAAATTATTAGCTTAAGCCTCTGGTTGCAAGAAAAAATAATGTACTATGGGTCAGAAAAATCCAAACTATGTGCTTTGCAATCAGGTGTGTGTATGACCCTGAACAAATTATCTTACCCCTATGGATCTTTGGGTCATAATATATAATTGAAGGGACTGGACTAGAATGGTATTGGTGTTTTCTTAAAGAGTCAATTAATAAATACTATAGTCTTTGTAGGCCACATAGTTGCTGTTTAACTACTCTACTCTTTTGGGGGTAACATGAAAGCAACCATGGAGAATACATAAACCAATAAACGTTATGTTCCAATAAAACTTTATTTACAAAAATAAGTAGCCAACCTACCAGCCATATTTTACTGGGCCTTGGACTAGATGTTTTTTAGTATTTGATGCATTTCCTGCATTTTATAACCATACTTCTTTGAAAGGGCTTAGTGATTCCTACTGCACAAAAGATCTGTATCACTCTATTTAGTACTTTTATAAGAAGTATCTGATAGCACTTTATTTCTGTGTATTAGTGCTGTTTTCTCACCAAGAAAGTGAAATTAGGTAGCTGGGATGTTCTGAAATTTTATATCTTCATAGGGTTCTAATATATCATTGGGCATTTACTAATAATTACACAAACAAAACATAGCCTTAATAAACGTAGCTACTGCTGATGAGGTGTATAGTAATTATTAATTGAATGGTGTAATCATCAAAAAGTGGCTCATCCTGGACATCTGTCTCCTTCCCCAGCATTCACAGAGGTGTTAAAATGTGAGCATGAACGAGCCATAGACCTCTTTGTTGATTCCCTGGTGAATGAGGACAAGCCAAGCTTTGCCTTTCAGTGCACAGACTCCACACGCTTCAAAAAGGGGATCTGTCTTAGCTGCAGGAAGAATCGTTGTAATAGCATTGGCTACAACACTAAGAAAATGAGAAACAAGAGGAACATCAAAATGTACCTAAAAACCCGAGCAGGCATGCCTTTCAAAGGTAACCTTTAGGCCACAGAGTGGCCCTTAGTTTTTCTCCTCCTTCTTAATATGTTACTGTAGAACAGGGCATATCCCAGACCACAAGCTCTGGCTAGCACAGTTATGTCAAATTACTATGAATCAGATTACATTGTGTATGCCCTAGGAAAGTTATTCTTTAAAAATTAATGGCATGGTGGTGCATGCCTGTAATTCCAGTACTCTGGGAGGCTATGGCAGAAGAATTCCAAGTTTGAGCCCAGCCTGGGCAACTTAGTGACTTAATGAGATCCTCTCTAAAAATAAAACAAATAAAAAGATCTGGGGGTGTAGTTCATTGTGAAGGCTTTGGGTTAAGCCCCCAGTATCATAAAAATCAGTCGATCAATCAATCAGTCAATCAATCACAAGGACTCCTGTGATGTCCTCATGATCACAATGTCAATATCTTAAAATTTTTCTGGTATTTTTGCAAGGATATTTCCTACTTGTTTTCTCATTTGGCTGCAACAAATCTGAAGGAGGATGAACAGAGGACCAAAATAATAGGTTACATTTCTTTTTTTTTTTGGTACTGGGGATCGAACTTGGGTCCTTGTGCTTGCAAGGCACAATCCCCGGCCCCAATAGCTTACATTTTTATAACATGTTATAAAATCATAATGTTTCGTGGATATTATTTTATATATGAGGAGATTGAGGCTCAAAGAGGTTAATACCTTGGTCTTTAATCCAGGGTCACACAAGTAGAAAGTAGGTAGGCCCAAGTCCCCAAGACATCTCCTAACTCTCAAGTTCAGAACTATTCTTATTTTGTTTTCCTCTTAGGCCATTGGACAAAACAAGACCAGAGAAAGACTAGAGGCTAGGCTGGACCCAAAATTCAATGTGCGGGGTGATTTGGTGTGGGCAGGGTACCCTGATATGAGAAGCAGGCCTCATAAACACCTTTGTCCTGCTGTCTGTTTAGTGTATCACTATCAGATGAAAATCCATGTCTTCAGTTACAAGAACAGAGGGAAAATCGAGCCAACCTTTTATGTCACCCTGTATGGTACTAATGCGGACTCCCCAGTTCTGCCTTTGGAAATGTAAGTCTTGAGTTTCTTTTGTGACTTTGGTTTAGGACAGAGAACAAGTTGGTCTGAGAATGAGAGAAGGCAAAGGAGGTTTGGGAGAAGTGCAGAAGAGTGAAGTTGGGAGGCCCAGGGGAAGGACTGAGTAGTTCCTACTGGCCTCCCGTTCTCTCTCCTGCTGGATGCTCTCCAGCAAGCCCGTACTCCACCAAGTACGTTTCTGGAACACTCCTAGGATGAATCAGCATTGTGAGAAACTGCTGATCAGCTGGTCAGAAACTGCTCTTTCATTTCAGCCAACGCCTGACACCTGAGGCTTTAGGGAATCGGGATCTTCTGAAATGATCGGCTGTGGGAGGAGTACCTGGGAGTCTCTGTGTACAGTACTTATTGGGTACCCCACCAGGGACAGAGTGCGTTGCCAAGTAATGTCAGGATTTCAAAGAAACATCAGCAAAGTAACTCACTTCAGGCTCTAGTTGGACGACTAGACTTGCATTTACTCACAACTGGGGTGAGGTAGACCACACCAGGTGCCAGATGAGAGGGACAGGCAGGAAGGGACTGGGATTTGAGGAGACCAACACCTGTGGGCTGAGAGGAATAGCATATTGCTGTGTGTGGCTGGGACTTCTTTGTGTTTTCTCATTTTTACTTGTTCTTGGTCCTGTCTCCCAGGAAAGTAGAAGTATTGGAGAGGTGCCCAGGAATAGGTTTGATAAGAAGTTCGGGTGCTGCAGGCAAAATTATCTCTGTTAGTGTGGAGCACAAATGAGCTCCTGCCTTGGTCCTGTGGGTGGGGCACAGGGCACAAAGCGGGGAAGAACCTCCCATCTGTTTCTGTCCAGTCCTTGTGGGAAAGGTGCTTCTACTCTGTCATCCAAAACAGTGTAGCAGCTTCCCAGGTGCAGGGAAGTGAGAAGAGCTTGTCTCTCACCTTGTAGAGTGGAGCAGATTGGGCTGAATGCCACCAACACCTTCTTGGTCTACACTGAGGAAGACTTGGGTGACCTCTTGAAGATCAAACTCACATGGGAGAAGACATCACCGTCCTGGTACAACCTGTGGAAGGAGCTTCGTAGCTACCTGTCTCAACCCAGCAGCTCTGCTCGGGAACTACATATCCGGCGCATTCGTGTCAAGTCTGGGGAGACCCAGCAGAAGTAAGTACTCCTGTCCCTTCTCCTGCTCATGTAAGTAGTGAGCAGAAGGCCATGTCTCAGCCACCTTTTTTCCTTCGCATGCACCCTCACTCTTCTGTGTCTAGCCATGGTGTGCAGGCAAAACCTCAAACATCTGTGAGTGAATCATGACTCTCAGATCAAGTTTCTGTTAACTGCTTTGCATCTTAACCCTGATTGCAGTCCCTTGGCTGGCAGGGTGGGCAAGGGAGGGGGCTGGAATTCAGCCCCTGTTCTGTTTGCCAAGCCCCATTTGGCTTAAAGGAACAGAGTTTTCTGGACAAGCCTCTAAGAGGGTTCCTTTGTTGATCTGTTTACTGTGGGGCAAACTGGGGGATCTTGTCCCACATAGGAGGTCTTCGAGGGGCTCTGGTTTATGCTGACACCTTATTTTCTGAGCATTATTGTGTCTCTCTTTCAGAGGCTCTGAATCAGGGATCTTGGGCCAGGGCTCTACCTTCAAGTAACAGAGAGTCCTCTGTGGCATGCCAGCTGGCAGCTTCCCCATCTCTTTGAACCCCAAGTCCAGTGTGAAAGATCCAGACCTGTATGTCTCAGCCCCTGATACTGTGCCCTGACTCTCTGAGCAGGCTTCTGTCTAAATTGAAGCCTGGATGGGCTCAAAGCCAGCAGAGTCCTGGAGACCTTTGTGAAGCGAAAAGGGTCTTCTTAACCATGTCCTTCCGCTGACCTCTGGAGTGGCCACTGATAGCCTTGGCATGGGAGGAAGCAACTCCCAGCCCCCTTGTTTCTTTCCTGGCATTTTCCTACTACAATTCTTCACTTGTCTTGTTTGCATCCATCATCTGTGGCTCATCTTGGCAGCAAAAGGGAGTGAATGGAGCCTTGGATTCCTCCTCTGAGCAGTTCTAGCCTAGAAACCTATGAACTAGGGGATATCAGAGGGGAGTTATTAGTACCAAGCCAATGATCTACATACTTGTGTATCTTTTTAACTGCAGCTTTTGCCTGTGGGTGTGGTAACAGAAAGATGATTTTAATAACATACTTCAAATATAGTATAATAACACCTATTTAATCACTGTAGAGACAACAGATATACACAGTTTTCTATATTGATTTCAGATATGAAATCTAAAATCTAAAATTTAAAATTTAAAAGCAAAACATTATATAGTTGAATCCCCTTTGTGCTCTTCCCCTGCCTTATTCTCCTCCTTTCAAACCAAAGATAATGAATATTTCAACATTAACCAATGATATTATATTTCCTTCTTTCATGTTTATATGCCATTAGTACTTTGGTTTGTATCCATAAACAATGTGTATAATTGCTTTAGATGCTTCTGAATTTTCCATGTTTGGACATACTCGTTTACAAGGTGCTTCTTTTTCATTTAAAACATCTGAAATTTATTCAACACATGTAGATCTAGTGTATGGTTGACTTCTCCACTAGACTGTCAACTCCTTTTTTTCCTTTTCATATGGGGGATTGAGCCCAGGGCCTTCACACTGAGCTACATTTCCACCCCTTTATAAAATTTTGAGATAGGGTCTCACTAAGTTGCTAAGTTGCCCAGGCTAAGTATAAATTTGTGATCCTCCTCGCTCAGCCTCCGAGACTGGTGGGATTATAGGCATTTACCACCATGCCCAGCTTACTAAGCTCTTGACTGAAAGAATTTAAGGTTCTGGGTTGGGGATTTAGCTCAGTGGTTCTGCCGCCTGCCTGGCAAGCACAAGGACCCAAGTTCGATCCCCGGTACCAAAAAAAAAAAAAAAAAGAATTTAAGGCTCCTCACGTATGGTGTTCCATAAATGTTCGTTGATAAGAACAAGTGGAATTCAACTGCAAGTTACAAAGACTCAGAAAATGGATAGGCAAGATCACAAGAAAGAATCAGAGGCCTAAACACCATTTCATGAACACTGTGACTGCCCTGTGCAGCCTCAGTGGTATATGATTAGCATGACTGTATAGGCAGTAATGTGTAGTGCTTGATCCTGATGCTGAGGCAGGACAAAAGCCACATTCACAGTAGTGTAAGAATCTTTCTCAGGAAGCCCTAATGACCTTAGCACCCATATGCTTAAAAAGATAACCTACCAAGGGTGGAGGGGTGCACAGGTAATGGGGAAAAAATAAGAACCAAGATATATTATGTACAGATACAAGCCCCCAAAGATAAATGCAAATTTATTGTATACCTAAAATGTACCAATAAAAGAATTTAAGCACTGCCTTGCAAGCGTAAGGTCCCGAGTTTGATCCCCGGTACCAAAAAAAAAAAAAGAATTTAAGCAAAAGAAAAAAAAGATGACCCACCTCACTCATAACTAAGAAATGCAAATGAACACAAATCACAGCAGTAGGGGTCCCACTCACACCTAACGGAATGACGAAAATGTCCCACCTAATGGAGGTGGAGAGGGAGAAGGGAACTATTACTCTACAACCAAGATTAAAAACTAGTCCATCTACTTTGAAGAAGGATTTAATAATACCTGCTCAGATTAGAGAATACATATACCATAACCCAGAAATTCCACTTTTTATTATATATGCCACGGTACCATTTGTAGCTACAAAAAAGTAGCAAAAACTTAAATATTAAGCAGAACAACAGTAAAGCCATTGTTTGTACAGTAATGCTTTCATGTTATGTGAAGTAATGACAATTTAAGAAGCAACATTTATATAAGGATTCCCTATTTACTAAGTTGAGGTCCAGGGAGGGTTTGGTTCATGGGGGCTGGGCCAGTCCAGGAGACTTCCAAGAGGCAATGGCCTGGAGAGGCAGGTGGTCTTTGGGTAGACAGAAGGAAGAAGGTGGGAGAGGTGTGATTTAAGTCTGCATGAGGCCAAATCATGGAAGCCTTCAATACAATATGTACTTTGGAGTCTTGTAGTAGTAATGGGCAGTTCTGAAGACTCGAGCTGGGAGTGACAGCCATGCCTGGATCTCCCTAGAGTTCGATCTACATCAGTGGTGTCTTTTCCTTCTTAGATTAACTTTCTGTGCAGAAGATCCAGAGAACAACAGCTTTTCTCCTGGCCAAGAGCTCTGGTTTTACAAGTGTTGGGATGGTTGGCGAGTGAAAGGTGAAACCAGGTAACCTGAACTTTCTCTGTGTTCCACTCACGCATCTTGACTGATCACCTAGCATGTGCTGGGCATGGACGAGGGCAGTAGGGACACACCATGAACAAAAGAGAAAAACATCGCTTCCTATGTGAAGCTGCCCTTTTACTGGAAGGATCTAGGCATATAAATGGGTGAAAATATAATGTATTGAAGAATGAGACTGTTACCTCTGCTCTTATTGTGCCTCACCCTGTAGGTGTTTATTGCTCATGGAAGAGTCTTTTTGGTCACTAAATCCCCCGAGGTTGGTGTCCATGATATCTCCTCTGTAGTGACCAGTACTATGCAAAGGTCCAGCCTTTGTCACTTCATTCTGGGCACCAGAGGAATGGGGTGGGAAGAGAAAGAGAAGCACAAAGTATATTCCCTTTCTTCTGGTTTTCTGGAATCCTGTTGGCATGAGTGGATGTTAGTAGGTCTAATTCTCCCTTTTTGAGAAGTAGGAGTACTCGTGTGTACAGCTGAGTCAGGCAGGTTTTCTTGCTCCAGTATCCACTGCACTGTGCTGGAATCCCTTGATTTCAGATCAAAGAGGCCCAGCTCACCATGTGAGGCAATGGGCTCCTCCAGGGGAACCAGCCACATGCCCTCTGAGCCTAAACACCTGTTGAGGAGCAGGGAGACCATCTCCCAGCCATTCCTGTCCCTGCCCCTTCCCTCTTCTCTTAACCAGGGTATTGCATAATAATCCTGCTGCCATATACTGAGCACTTAGTGTGTGACCACCCTGCACTCAGTGACTGACATAGTCATCTCAGTTTACCATCAACCCTAGGAGGCAGTGCTGTTATCCCTGTGGAGAGGTGAGGAAGCTGAGACTCAGGGACATGAAGTCACTCTCCTGAGGTCCCCCAGCTGGGGATGGCACAGTGAGGATTGGAAGCAGGTCATTCTACTCTAAAGCCTGTGTTCTTGAGTGCAGAGGATCCACCCTCTCAGACGAATTGCCTCACCTCTATCTGGATACCAATTATCAAGAAGCTGCACTCATGCCTGGGGGTCCTCTATGACTGTCTGCCAGCCCTCAGGCTAGGTTGCATGTGCAGCTGCTCCTGAGTAGGAGTATCAATGCAACCTCAAGTTCAGTGATCACAGACTTATGGGAGATGAAGACAGTCTGTCTAATTTAGGATCTCAGTCTAGTGTAGGCGCATGGTTTTCTGCTATCCTAATTTTAAATCTCTGTGTATTCAAGTACAGGCCTTTTACAGTGCTTCCACATATATTAACCTCATTGATCCTCAGACCAGAGATTGGATACATCCAGGAAGGAATGAGGAATTAAATATTTTATTCTTCTTTTCTGGTCCAGAACTTCCTAATAGTTAGAAACTATATGACTTGTGTCACGTTGTTTCTTTTAGAAAACAAGTTGCCCTTTCCCTCTGTCCCCAAGGAACAGTAAACAATAGGAGTCTGAGTAGTGAATGAACTCTTGAAGCTGTGCATCCTCAGGCATCCTCAGGCATGTGCAGCAACCTCAGTCTTCTTCCTCGGCCCTTCATGCTGCTCTGCTGCTCACAAATGAGGAGACTGAGGTTCAGAGTGGTTCAGTGGCTCCTTCCTATAGCTAACACTGGAATTCAGGTCTCTTGATTCAGCTTTGCCCCCTTCCTGCCACACTACCATCTCTCTTGTGTTTCTAGATTCAAGCAAAGAGAACACCTTGACAGCTCTCATGCTTGCATGTGTGCATTGTTCATGTGTGTGCATGTTGTACTAAACACATGAATGCATATTCTGTGATCAATGCAACTTGGGAGCCAGAGAGGGCTCTTAGGGGGCATTTCTTGGAGTGAAGCTGTGGGGAGGAGAAAGAAGCTTTCATGAGCCTGTCCATTTCTTCTGAAAGGAAAGTGAGTGAAATAGTCCCATAGTGTGTCGGAAGCTGGGGAGATGGAACACCTCGAGACAGGTATGCCTGTTTGCTGGTGAGTGTGCTAATCAATGCCACACTGTTATTTGGTGCCTTTCAGTCCCACTGTGGAGCTTGCCTGAGGGGCTGGGAAGCCTGGCCAGCATGTATCTCAACCCTGCTGTCTACACGTGGAGGAAAGTTACTGCTGAGAACTCACCGGAAGAAGGACTCCTCTTAGCTTGATCCTGGAGCCCCTGGGAGCTTGCTTGCCGGGCCTACCTTTGTCCCCTGATGATTGCAGCTTTTCTGTGGACAGGACAACTGTGCACTCTAGATGAACTATCTCTGATGACACCTCTGGAGTTCAGTCTAGATTTGTGTGCCAGCAGCAAATGTTCAGGGTTCCCCCGTGAACATTGGTGTGTCTCCTGGTTGCTGGTTGAGCCCAGGCTTTGCCTGACAGGGAATGCTGGCTCTGAGGCAGCTTTGCGTGGAAGGCCGCTTCTCCTGACTTGAGCATCAGTGAGTGGTCTTTCCCTCGGGAGCTGACTTGTATCAGAATGGCAGACCTGTTACCTCACTGGCCCAGAGAGGGGCCATTAGATCAGGCTGGTGCAAGGCCCTGCAATGGGAGTTTCCATGGGCTGGTTTGATCCATACTAGTTACATCTCTTAGACATTCCATCCTACTCCCCAGCTCACCCTCTGAAGCACACATCATTGGCTTTCTCTTTTTTCCATTATTCATATTTTGATTGAACACGTATTTATTGAGCACTAAAATTAGTTAGCATGTGGCAGTAGACACAGTACTCAACCTCACCATTTGAAACCTGAATAGGGTTTGGGGTTCCTAGAATCCCGTCCAGTATGTGAGATGAATATGTGTGTGTGTGTGTGTGTGTGTGTGTGTGTAAAGACAGGTGTATAGGGGGTGGGGAACTACAGGCTACAGGAGTCGGGAACCTTGTGGCTTTAGGTGGCTATTACCTATTTATTCTTAATGATCATGTGCCATTTCCTCCAAAAGTGACATGTTTAATCCCCAGCAGAATATCAAGAAGAATGTCATACACTGAGAGCACAATGGTAGCTGCTTATTAGATATGATTGCTTTGGATCAAAATCTCTGTTTTAGGAGCTAGAAGATATTACATGTGTTCTACAAACCTATTTATGCATAAGCCAGCACTTGTCAACAGCTAACTCTAAGATTTGATACAGTGCTCAATTCTTCCCTGAAATATCTTGTTTTCAGACCAGTACCTTTTTTGTGTTGGACTTCTTAGAAAAGCCTCTGATTCTAGACCTGGATTTGAATTAATAAACATGATACCTATGACACCTTTTTATACTTTTCATGTATGTGACCTAAGTAGAATGAGGTGATCAGGGCCACTGTCATTGTCTTTATTTTACAAAATTGAGGCTTAGTGAGATTCAGTCACATGCCTGGAATTATATACTAAATTGGTGGTGGAGCCAGGCTGAGGACCTAGGTTTCCTGGAGGCAAAGTTCATGGTACATTCATCTTTTCAACTTCATGAAGACAGGATGCCCAGATGTGACAAGGAATATTTTTTTCCCAGAGCCACCCATAAAATCCTACACTCTTTTATTAATATACAACCAGGAGAAAACCTGTACCAAAGGGTTGGGTTTCCTTTTGGGTGAGATTTATTTGGGAGGAGGCATGATATCAGGTGGGGATGAGAGAGTGATTATTTTGTAATTAGGTTTTTAAAAAACATCGTATTTAGGTTTTTAAAAGACATTTTGCCAAAGTTATATCACTATTTAATGCCAAACTTCCAAAGACACAACCAGTCAAGTCTTAATTCAAAGTATGCTTTTAATCTGCTTGTGTGCTTCTGTGATTGCTTTCCAGCCAAAGTGAAACTTGTATTACTGGCCATCCATCCTGGTACATATGACTTCTGTTTTTTTTAGTAATGGAAACTTTGGGAACTGAATCTTCAGTGGGTTGTGTATTTATGCATTTTTACTTGAAGCTTATTTGTATATATGATCCTTTTTAAAATTCTACTTAAAGCACTATTTATTTCTCAAGTGTGTATAATGTATAGAAACAAATATATGGTTACTTTTTACTTTAAGATTAACCAATTTCAAGATTTAAAAATGTTAATAATAAAATAATAAAAAACTATAAAATTCTTAATAATCTGGCAACTCATTTCTTAAATTTGAAAGAATTATGGCTGCCAAAGCCCTGAGTTTGATTTTTAAAAAGTTACTTAGGGCCAGGGATTTAGCTCAGTTGTGCTGTGCCTGCTTCACATGTGCAAGGTCCTGAGGTCCTGGGTTCAATCCCTGGTACCGCCAAAAAAAAAAAAAGTTATGTTTTTAGTCCATAGGGGGCCAGCTCCAAGACCGGGAGGGTTGACAGAAAGGTATGGCAGAGAAAAGTTGCTTACTTTATGGTAGCTGGGAAGTAGAGAATGAAGCTGGAGAAGGAGAGAAACTCTTCTAGGCCATGTCCCAACGAAGTATCTCTCCTGCCAGACCCGTCTCCTAACCTCAAGCCAGCTATACTGCCCCTCAATTCAGTCACGTTTCAAAAGTCCCACCTCTGGGTGCCTGAGGCTCTGAGCGGGGACATCTATATACAAACCTTAACAGAAGCTCTAAGAGGACAGGGATTTTAATCTGCCTCTTGTTCTGCTATTGCCCTGGAACAGAGTAGGAGTTCAACAACTACTTAAATGAATAGGTAAATTTAGGTATAAGAAATTAACTGGGAAAAGAGCAGTTAATTTAGAGTCAGAAGTCCTGATATGTCAGTTAGCATTATGTGAGTTTTAGTCTAAATATAATCTTTCTGAGGCTGTTCATTTAAGAAAAAGAAGGGGTCAGGGATTTAGCTTAGTGGAATTTAGCTCAGTGATGCTGTGCTTGCCTTGTAAGCACAAGGTCTTAAGTTCCATACCTGGTACCACACACAAAAAAACCCCAAAACCAACAACAACAACAACAACAAAAACAGAAACAACACCCTGCAAGGCTGTTGTGAATAAGAAATGTATATGGTAAGAAAAAAGGTATCAGAGTTTTGCCAGCGTTACAGGAAAAAAGACAGTGAAATAAAGATAAAATACAATCTCTTCCATGTATATGTAGAAATTTTATATATGATAAACGGGGTTTATTAATCACTGGGAAAGAATGGAGGGTTACCTAGATGATGGTAGGAAAGCAGCCTAGTGAAATAAGAAAAAACAAAATTAGATCCTTGTTGTATACATGGTAATTAAAGATAAATTCCACCAGAATGAAAGATATAAATGTGAAAGTAATAACACTAATAAACATTATGAAATATAAATTGATGCCTGTATAAGAATTGAAAAATATAAAGTGTCACAATTATGACAATAAGAAATAGGAAATCAGCCAGGGATTTAGCTCAGTGGTTCTGCCGCCTGCCTCGCAAGCACAAGGACCCGAGTTTGATCCCTGGTACCCACCCTTCCCCCACCAAAAATAGGAAATGTGAGTGGATCAACAAATATTAAAGGAGCAAAAATGCTAATAAGAGATTCTCTACCTCATACATTCAAAAAACTCTGTCATACAGGAGTTACTGGAAAATTCTACCAGTGTTTCAAGGAGCATATAATCTCTAATTTACACAAGCAGTTTCAGATAATAGAGAAATCTTTCCAAATCTTCTCCACTCATTTATGAAATGAAATTATAGGCCAAATTTTCCTATGAACATAAATATGAAGGTTCAAAATATTAGATACTCCAACAGCCTGAATTGTGTCTTCCTCCAACTTGTATGTTGAAGTCCTAACTAGCAGTGATTCATAATGTGACTGTATTTGAAAAATAATGATTTTTTTTAAGAGAGGTAATTAAGCTTAAATGGGGTCATATAGATGGGTCTTAATTCTATCAGGCTGGTATTCTTAAAAGAAGAGGAGATTTAGATAACATAAAAGAGACATCAGGAATGAGCATGCACACAGGAAAAACCAGGCAAGGATACAGCACAAAGGAGGCCATTTGCAAGCCAAGGAGCAAGGCCTCACAACAAACCAATATTCCTGACACCTTGACCTTCTACTTTCCAGAACCCTGAGATTAATTTCTATTGTTTAAGCCACTCAGTCTGTGGTATTTTTTTTTTAATGGCAGCCCCAGCAAATTAATATAATGACTGAATCCAATACAGTAACGGAATGAATCATGGCGCTGGCTTAGCCCAGAAATGCAAGAGTGGTTTGTTGGAAAACTGACCAATGTAATTCATCCAATTAATTTACTGAAAGAGAAATACCACTCCATGATCTCAACAGATGTAGGAAAAACATTTCACAAAAAGTTTTAGAACTTCTGGAATTTGATAAAGCCTTTTTACCAAAAATTTACAGGAAATGGTACTTAATGAAGAACTTTTGAGCTTATTTTCTTTAGTAAGAATACAGGATTCTTGCTATTATGCTTACTATTTAACATAGTACTGTACAACTTGGCAATGCGATTAAAGCAGAAAAAGAAAATGGTTTATGATAAAAAGGAAAACAATAAAACTCTTACATTTACAGATTATATAATCATCAGCATAGAAAACCTAAGAAATTAGCTGAGTATGGTGGCACATGGCTGCAATCCCAACTATTCCAGGGAATGAGATAGGAGGATAGCAAGTTCCAGCCCAAACCTGAGCAACTTAGTGAATGAGAACTTGTTTCAAAGTAAAAAAAGGGCTAGGAATGTAGCTCAGTGATAGAGCACTTGTTTAGAATGTGTAATCACCTGGGTTCAATCCCTAGAATCACAAAACAAACAAACAAACAAATAAACCTAAGAAATTAAATGGACTAATGATTAGAAATAATGAGAGAATCTGATAGTGTTGCTGGATAAAAGACTGGATAATAAAAATCAAGTAACCTTTACCAGCTATTATTAATTTAAAAATTCAGAAGAAAACATTAACATTCACACTGTACTTCAAACTAAGAAATTTCAAAATTAATCTAACATATATTGTGCAAAATTACTATGGAGAAATTTTAGAAATTATCCTTATAAGTAAACATGAATAAATGAACTTTTAATGGGCTTAACATAGGAAAAATATCAAATTATTCCAAAATGCAATGCAATCTTAATCAAAATTTCAGCAGTATTTTTTGATGAACTGAACATTTTGTTCTAAAATATACACTGAAGAGTAAAGTCCACAAACATAGAATTTAACTTTGAAAAAGAAAAGCAAAATAGAAACATTTTTTTCCTAATAGATATAAAGATATGCCATAAATTCATGGTAATAAAAATAGTGTGCTATTGATTCATTAGTGAATTAGCTAGGTTAATGAAATATAATAGATTTATTGCAAACCTATGTATGTGTGTATGTATGGGAACTTTCTTTGGACTTTTCTTTTCTTTCTTTTTTTTTTTCTTCTTACTAGGGATTGAACCCAGGATCTTCTCATTGAGCTACACTCCCAGCCTTTAAATTCTTTTAAAAAATTTTGAAACAAGGTCTCAATAAGTTGCCCAAGCTGGGCTTGAACTTGAGATCCTCCTGTCTCAGGTTTCCAGAGTGCTGGGATTAGAGGTATATGCCACCATGCTAGGCTGGGAACTTGCTTTGGGATAAAGGTGGCACCTCAAAGCCATGGAAGGAAAATCTTCTTAAATAGATGATGTTAGGAAAGCCAGCTTGATATATAGAGAAAAGCAGTGCTGGACTCAGTACTGTTAAAGAGAAAAGGCAGACTGTAGATGGATTAGAAACTTAAAAGCATAAGGTAAAGGTTAGGCTTGGAGATACACACCAGTAATTCCACTACTTGAAAGGTTGAGGCAGGAGAATTACAAGTCTGAACCCAGCCTGGGCAACTTAGTGAGACCCAGTCTCAAAATAAAAAAACAAAACGGTAGGAATGTAGCTCAGTGAGATGGTTCTAGCTTCAATGTCCAATACCCACCCCCCAGAAGTGAAACAGGTAAAATTATAAAGATAATTGAATACAATGTGAGGAGAATATCTTTGAGACCTTAGGACAGGAAAGATTTGTTAAATATGATCCCCTAAAATGTTAACCATAAAATTAAAAACTGATGAACTTGATTGCATTAATATTGAAGATTTTTATTCCGCAATTATATTAGTAAAGAACAACTGGTATTTATTGAACACTTGTTATATATCAGGTATTATTTTAAGTATTAAAATATTATATTAATTCATTTAGTTTTTACATATAAAACTAACCATATAAAGCAAGTACACAGTATAATTGAAAAATATGGGGTGAATTTTAAATTTTAAAATTTACTACAGTAAAAAATGCATTGCCATTAATCCCCCTCCCCCTTGCTTTATCCCATTATTCTAATTTATCCTATTATTCTTGGCACTTTCTAAAGGACTTTCTGGAAGTGGTTTTTTGTGTTTTAAGTTGCACTGTTGTGGCTGCCTCAGTTTCCCGAGTTGATTCAAAACACTTACCTTTCATGGTCATTTTGAATTTGTGAAAGAGCCAGAAGTTACATGGTGCCAAATCTGGTGAACAAGGTAGATGAGGACACACCAGAATGTTTTTACAATCTTGGCTTTCCATTGGATGCCACTTGACAGCAGTATTCATTGTATTTTTTATCATATCTTGTAAAGACACTCATGGAAAAGGACTTCTGGAACTGCTTCAGAAAGTGCCAAGAATGATGGGAGGGGTGTGTTTGAAGTGAGGAAGGATATTTTGAGGAGGATTAATAGCAATGTGTTTTTTACTGTAATAACTTTAAAAAATGTAAACATTCACTGTATATTTTTAACATATTATTATAATTCCCTTTACAAATGAGGAAATGGAGGCACAGAGAGGTTAAGTCATTTGCCCAAGGTCACATAGCTAGTAAGTTCCAAAGTCAGCATTTGACCAAGATGCCTGGCCCTAAATTCTGTGTCCTTACTTCTATGCTATATGAATCAGACCCAGTGGAAAGATGGCAGACTTGGTCAAGGTAATTATGACATATAAAACTGATAAGAGATGAATATTTGGTATATGTAAGTCAATAAGAAATAAGATTCCAATAGAAAAATGGTGTAATAATATGGAAAAATGGCTAATGTGTATGAGAAATACTCCAACTCATAGGAATCAAATAAATGTAAATTATCATTGTGAGATT